AATAAAGAAAGTTGTGGATAAATAAATTTACTTTGTAAAATGCAAAATTAGGAAAACAATCAGGTTGTTTAAAGAATCTGAATTAGAATTTAGGAAGAAGATGGATAGGAAGAAAAGGGACATTTTAAAATTCGTTGGGCTTGAATTTCAAAAACTAATTAGAACTGAAAAGATAAATCGACACAAACAACAAAATGAACAATCAGTACTGAAAGATATACATAAAAAGGTGAATACACAGTAATGCCACTTAACTGTGGTGCTCCCTCTGAAGTTTATGGATTATCAGGAAAACTTACCTTGGTAGCAAATACTGTCAAATGTATTATAGCTCTAATTTCTGTTATTATCAAACCCTGAAAATTATTTCAAAATATTTAGAATATAACGCCAGTAATCATAAAAGCATATCCTCGACTTATGACCAATTTTGGTCCTAAGTCATTGTGCTTCCAACCCTAAACATTGTGTGACTAGACTTAATTTTATTACTGTTTTGTGATGGTTGTAAAATAAGCCACTGTTGTTGTTAAACAAATCACATGCTCATTCAATGAATCCGTCATATCTAATGGGTTCCCTCCCTATTTTCTGCCAGTAAATAGCAAAAAAATGTTGCATATCATGGTTACATGACCACGGAACTTTGTAACCAGTCATAAATGTGATCCAGTTGCCAGGTGTCCAGAATTTAATTACATCACCACAGGGAATGAGGGTAATTGTACTTTTAAGGACAGGTCCTTATAGCTTTGAAAACTCTGGCATTATTTCAAATGGTTCCTAAACAACCAGTTGTAAGTTTTAGACTACTGTAGGAAAAAGCTGGGTGCTCTCATATAAAGCTGAAAAACATTCATCCAAGAGGAACGTATATCCAGCCAATGAAAGATGCTTTATTGCCATATGAAGGCAAATTTGCAGAGAGTATCACATAGCCGAGGAATAAAGGATTGGCTCTCTAGAATAACTCTTCCTGAAAAGATCTGTTAATAGTTAACACTGTTGATTGTGGGGTGAACAAATAGGGAGATTTATAGTCAAAAGTATAGGAACAGATTTTCTACTTTTTCAGAGGAGCTATACAGACACTGCACTGGTGTCCAGGGGCACCTTCTTTTGCACTCTCCTTTAGTATTTCATTTCAAGTGCTACCTTCATATGTAGGACCCTGCAGAAGAATTTGTCTCCTCCTATGTAGTAATGTCAAGGGATTATAATGCAGAAATCCACCCCATCTTATTTCTGCAAAAGGAAATACTATCAGGAATGGCGTAGGCGTTTCATATGACAATATACTTCCTTTGAATGTCTGTGGCAATGCGAAGTCATTCAGGTCATGGTGGACCTAAGGGTACTCTATCAAGAGGCAACTGGACATTTTGCTTCTCATCCAAGAAGCTTCTTCAGCTTCCTTAAGGAATTGTGTTGCAGCACTATCATACAGATTACCCAAGAACTTGGTGTGTTCTATTCAGCCCCCAGAACCATGACTTCTTTTATTTGTTAGATTTATATCTCATCTTATACCTAATGTTGGAATATCAGTTGAGAAGATTGTTCCTTGATGAAGATGTGAGAACAAGGAGTAACTGCTGTAACTGGTGCTGGGAGTTTGATATCCCAACCTAGATGGTTGAGGATCTCCAAAGATACTGCAGTAATTGCATTTTAAGAATACTTGTAATAATGCATGGAGTACAGAAAAGTAACAGATATATGAACCCCAAAAAGAATAGCCCTGAATTTTTGCTAGTGAATATTTAAACGGCAAAAAAAGCTTCTGGAAAGCTTACGATATTTATAGTTAATAGTTATGATGTCAGTTCTTCCTTGTATTCTTCTGGATCCTTGTGACATCTTGTGGACCAACCAACAAATGAGTTCATAATCTGAAAATTGGCATATGTAGCATTAGCACTGAGGATAAATTGTGTAAAGTTTTGCAAAGAACAGTATGCAATAAATACTCTTAGGTCTTCATGGCTTGCAATGCCATATTTATGCCACTGGTTCTTATGCCAAGTGAACATATGTATATTATATTGAAACATAAAAGTAAACAATTAAAAATAATGGGCAAAGTTTCTTTGGTTTTCATTTTCATATGACCGAGCATAATTACACAAGCTAATACAAAACCTGAAATGAAATAGTCCTTTACTTTTCACTTGTCAACTGCTGTGATATTCATTGGGAGAAACCTTAAAATATTTTTTAAAGTAAATATTAAAAGAATATATACATTTTTTGTGAGCACTTTGAAAAATTCATAGTGACTGAAAAATGACACAGAACATAACACACAAATATGATAAGTATAACAATCTAATTTGTCCTTCCCTTGAAACAAAATTTAATATGAAATGCATGAAAAAACCACTAATAAACATATGTGATATAAGGAAGAATGAAGTCACTGTAGCGTGTAACAAACAGGAATCCATCACAAAAGAATCTACCTGACTGGTTGCACAGTCAAAATTTACCTTTAAACTAGATTTGGCTATGATTAATATTTAAGCTAATCCAACAAGCTTGGATAGTATCACTGCAATAAAAGTAATTATTTTTAATTTTATTAATTTCCTGACTCTTAAATAGATAGGTCTTTATGAATCTGGTAATGGCAAACTCAGACAGTTGGATATTATATCAAAATGAAATTAAAACAGCTGCTGCAAAGCAACAGCATGCTTAGACAAGACTTGACGTACTTTGAAATATCAAACATTATAACCATTCTCCTTTTTCCAAGCAATAGCAATAGCAATAATATACAGCTTTATGGTGCTTAACAGTCCCCAACAATCTTGGTCCTCATTTTTAATGACCTTGGAAGGCTGAGTCAACCTTAAGCCAGTGAGAATTGAACTCCTGGCAGTCAGCAGAAATAGCTTGCAATACTGCATTCTAACCACTGCTCCTCCCAGCTCAGCTAAATAAGGTTGTGATCATCAGACTAATGGGGATTTTAGCTCTTTCAAAGCTACACAGAGGGGAAGTCAGTTCTGAGAGATAGCACTGCTTTTACAGACAGCTTGGCATGTGGAATTGCAATGGCCAGACTGTATGTTTAGCCATTTCAATTAACTCCCCCTCTGCCTGTGCAAACTGAAAGGGAGAGTAAATTGTAACATAAGTCTATACCCACAATTTTCCATTGCAGATCAGTATGATTCTACTTCCAGCCAAAGCTGGAAGCCAAATGCCAAACCAGGGCAAGTTTAGTTGAACCAAAAGGTATGGTAAAAGAGTTCTC